GGGATGAGGAAATGACTTCCGGAAGCTGTGGTTGTAGCAGAAAGCATCAATATATTTAAGAAGAAAGTTGATGCATACAGGATGGAGAAAGGATAGAGTGATATAGATCACAAGGTGAGTTTGGATGAAGAAGGCCCTTCGGCCCATCCAGTGAAAAGGGTTAGGAAGGGTGGAGACTTGTGTGGAAGTATAGAAGCAAACCAGAACCATACCAGCACAGAAAAAGACCATTTTTCCCATTTTTAGACTCATTTCAGGTCTTTTTGTTTTGAATCTATCCACCAGTTAGTTCTGCTCTCGTGATCGGTCAAAAAAAACGATTAACAAAATTCATTAATAAGGAATCTGAGTCACGGGAATGAGGACGCCTCCTTCTGATAACCGGAAGTACACCGTCCTGACAACGGAAACTCTTCTCTAATACATTCGTCTTCATGAGCAGAGTTCCCATGGGTTGGGAATTCTAGCAGGATTACTTACTAAGGAATCATCTCTGCCTCTTTTCGTCCCAGCGAACCATCATATTGTCTTTACATTAGAAAATAATGCATTTCTTGTTTTTACAGTAGGGCATCATATCCTTTTCCTCCGGTATAACAAACAGAGGAACAGTTTAAAATTGAGCTGCATGAACCGTACCTCTGGGAGCAAGACAAGTAAATGCTGATTTTCAGTGAAAGACTATTATGTATGCTTCATGCCAGTGTTGCTGTTGCATAATATTTTTTTCCTCCCAGAATTTTGTTTAGTGTTGAAAGTGTTTGAGTGCATGAAGCACTTACATACTTGGAATTGAAACCTTGAAATAAGTGAGGATATTTTGAAGGCAGTGACATCTATTGGCTTTTCTATTCAAATGTCTTTGCAAAGCTCACTGCCTTCATTGAGAAAAAAAAGCTGGTAGGGCCACATGACATTTATCTGGACATTGTCCCACAATCCGTCGTGGTCTCCGAAAGATATCCGAGGGGATGCTGAGGAAGCCCGGCTTCTCCTGCCAAGAGCAGCGTAAGCAGTTGGAATCAGGACACGGAGACGAGGGACTGAGGCACTTCAGCGAAAAATCCTTGCTACATGCCACCAGGGCAGGTAAAGGTTCTTTTCAGATGCCCCCGTTATTCACATACCCTGAGCGATGGGAGTTTGAAACCTTTTTAGAATATTGTAAAGGAACCTGTGTCGATTATAAGAATAAATAACTTTCATCAAAAGTAGCAGAGCTGTCGGACATGGTCCACAGTTACATTAAACTTGGACTAAGAGGGTCGAGTCCCAGCCGAGTGATGACTCCTGCACCAACAGATTCATCCCTGTAGCAGAAAGGAATCCTCCCTTTGTTCAGTCCGTTGCTTAATATGTCAAAACGTGGATGAGCTTCAATGGGCCCGTCACCCACTCTTTGTTTTCAACATTGCATAGGAATGTTGCGATTTTCTTGTTGGTCAAACTTTGTCAAATGCAACATTCACCCTCCTCCCCCCCACTTCCTCCTTCATTCCCCCACCCTCTGTAAAAGTGGTCTGTTCACTGTCGGAATATATACATCTGAGCCTTTAATGTATTGCATTCCTATTTGTCCTGTACACTGACATACAATGCACACCATGGAGTGGTTCCATTGATAGACTCATAGGTTCAGGGTCTATTAATACACTGTTGTCTGTGGTGGCCCAATTATGGTGATCCTTCCGTGTTTGAAAGCTGTGGCTTCTGTTGTGGTGTTTCTTAATGTATTTTGCACAAGGCACATTGTTCAAGACCTGGTTCAAGGTCAGGACTGGTGCATTCAGGAAGATGTGAGCTGCTTTAGTAATTTGTCAGGATGTGTTGAGAGTCCTTGATATCTTGTCTGAGTGATTCCATCCCTGTATAGGTTCAATTGAACACAGACAGATGAGTTTTGTACTTTATAAGTTTAAGTCTGGGTATAATGCAATGCATACTTGCATCTGTTAGTTCTGACTGTATTGCTCATACAATTCTATTGTGGTATCTCTAATGTCTGTGCCTTCAACTCAGTCTGCCTCTTCTCAGTGTTGGGGAGGCCTAATTTGCCAAGTTTGTCCATTAGAGATTGATTGCTGATTCTCGCTCCTAGCTGTTTGCACTAGAACAATCGCATCTATGTAATGCCAATATTAGGAATTTCAGGTCATGAACAGTGAGGTAGACTTCCAGATTCTTCTTATTTTAATGAGCTGCTTTTCTTGGTTGATATTTAGCATCTAGTTTGCATGGGTTGAAATGGATTGACATTATTAGAGGGGAGGAGAAAATGTCAAATAGTTTACTTTGATTGCAGTTACTTGATACAATAATATAAATTGCATTACATCATTTGATGTCATGATAAGGGGAGAATTCCACCTGGGATTGAGATGAGACCTAGTAAGTGAGATTTACTATACTCACTTAGCATTTCCCGAGTGTTCTGAATTTGGGAAATTGTTGAAGTCTTAACTTTGAAGCTGGTCTTTTGTGGAGTCCTGTAGCTCAGTGGTTAGAGCACTCGCTTTGCAAGCGAGAGACCTGAGTTCAATTCCAGGCAGAGGGCGAAACCTTGGGCAAGTTTCCTTACTCCACACAGAGCCTAATAATAATCCCTCCAAAACAAAAAACAATAATAAATTGGGCATTTTCAATCTACGACTGTTTGTGGGACATTGCTGTGCGCAATTGGCTGCCGCGTTCGCCCACAAATATACAGTCAATTCACTTTACAGTGTGTTCTGTGAAGCACTTTGGGACGTCCTCCCGATGTGAAAAGCTCTATATCAAGTGCAAGGATTATTATTATTCTGTACTTAAAAGAAACTTAAGAGTAATGCGGCTTCAAAACAGGAGTGTGTTTTAAAAGTTTGCTAAATTCTGTATACATAAAATTAGATAATTACTTAGTGACATGGCACGGAAATGGGTCATTCTGCCCAGCCAGTTTGTGCCAGAGTTTACTGCACATTAGCCTCCACCCTTCTTATTTCACTCTCCTTGTAACCCTCTATTCCCTTCTCCCTCAAGGTTTCTCTTAAATGCATTGATGCTACTTGCTTCAACCTACTCTGAAATGCTGAGAAAATAGAGTAACTCTAGACTTGGCTGAATTCCTATCCCCATGTGGTTTTAGCCTTCAGTCTTAAATTTAAAATTGTGCAATATTTTGGAAATGTTTTAAATTCAGCTATATTGGAAACCCAGTTTTCTGCAGTTTTTTCCAAATCAAGACTGAATTTGAGTTTTTCAAAATTTGGTGCAATTTTGAATTTTAATTCCAAGGCTAAGACTCTGGGAAATTGGGTCACAGGAATCTTCTGATTGTGATCAATACTGGGGTGATTTCTAATAAGCTGCTACTTCGGGTCCGAGATATTTTGAGTTGGTGATACCTGATATTCCATATCATACTGATACTCCACACTGATATTGACACTAATATTAATGTTCAAGATACATTCCAATCATGAAAAATGATTTGTCAAGTTCTTGATTGAAAATTATGCTTTGAATGAAACCAGTCCCCACAATTCAGATTGATTGATTGATTGATTGATAGTACAATGAATGCTGCATAAGTTTCATGTAGTAAACTGAGAGCCGGTAGTGCAATGCAGATTTGGCAGATTGAGAGCCATCTGGATGAAGTTGTTTGAGAGACATTGTGGATGGTGCTGAAGTATAAAAACACTCGCCAAAGTCTATATTGTTGCTGGAGATCTTTTCACATTTTAAGAATGCTATTACGAGCATTTTTAGGTTTAGTTCCTTCATTTTGGATTTGCAGAGCAGTACAGAGAGAGAGGAAGAGAGAGGGTAGTGTCTAGTGCAGAAGCTGTGAAGTAAGATGCTTTATTGATCAGTGGATTAGTGAAAATGGTAACAGGGACATGAGCAGGGGGATGGAGTCTTCAGCCTGTATTCTGTAGAGGTGGAAAAGGTCAGTAGGGATGGGGGTGAATCCCTGGGCTTGTGGGTACTGTACACTTACACTGCACTGGATGCTTTGAGTTCCTTGTGCTTTATGATTTTCTGTTTGTACTGTTGATTTCTATAGTGCGGTACTTTATATTGCAGTTGCTCCATTGAGTCCATTGAACTCCACACTGATATTGACACTAATATTAATATTCAAGATACAAATTATTATTTTCCAGTCCTTCTTTTAAAAATAGAGAATGCTAACGTTTTGCTATATCAATCATGACGTTCACAGGGAATTATTGTTGCTTTGTTAAAATCCTGTGCTCATTGATTGTGAAACATTCTTTATCTGAAATGTTGCACCTTTAACTGTTGCTAATTCAGTCTGAAAAATGCACACTCTTTCTTTCTCTTTGATCCTGCATTGTCCTGACGGTGGTGCTGAGCATATAAATGATCGATCGGTATCCTTTGCATAAAGACAGGCAGAATTACTTATGCCTACGCTGGGCTGATTATCCCAGATCTGCTCAAAGTGAAGCAGAATGATCCATTCATTGTGTGCTGTTCCCCAAGATAATATTTGGATTATGTTCAAAATTCTATAATCACTTTCATATTTACATTTTAATACATTTACGTTTGTAATTCAGGCCCATGCCTTTCACCTTGACATTTTTTTCCAGCATTTACAATTTCCTCAAAATATAAGATAAAGACTGAGCATAACACCTCTAGTTTGAAGCATTCATTCTCTTCACCTCAGTGACAGACGTGGAGCCCCCCCCATCCCTCAAAAATAAAATAAAAATTCTGTGCAGTTTTATGCTGCATTAATACAGCTCTGGAGCTTACGTTTGTTCAGGATGGATGAGTTTTTCTTTGTTGATAGTGACACATGTCAACCAATGAAAGACATTAGACTCTGAATAGAAATAAATTTAAAAGTATCTAATAAGATCTAATAAATGGAAACATTTAGGTTTCGCATACCTGGGGCAATTTGTGTGATTTATAGAATTCCTATGCGAGTCCTGGCCCCCACCAGCCCACACACAATAATATCTTTCTTTTGCATTTTACAGATAGTGGGAGTAGCTCACCTCTCCCCAAATATGCTTCATCACCCAAACCAAACAACAGCTATATGTTCAAACGGGAGCCCCCAGAGGGATGTGAGAAGGTGAAAGTCTTTGAAGAAATGGCGTAAGTAGTAAAAGTTCTGTATTTTGTTTTATTGACTGTTTCCTGCAAACCACCCAAATAGACTGAGCAACAATGGACGACAAATACTTTTCTTTTTGTTTGTCGTGTTGGCAGCAAATCCCATCACCTTTTTCTGTACACAGGAACGGTGTGAGTAAAGAGTGCTCCTCGAGACATGGAGGCTATGTTTACATGACTCTATTAGGGGTATAGTGAAAGGGCGGGGCATTGAGATTAAAAGACTTGCTAAGATCTAATAAATGGGTGAAATGCATTTGAGCGGACCCTCATTCCTGTTTTCATTTGTTCCGATGTTTAGAATATTGTAAAAAAAATTCCAGCTCTAGATTAACAATTCATTTTAAAACTTTGCACTTCAGAAGTCCAGATGACTGCTGCTTATTTGGCATAGTTTTGTTACAATGAACGAGCGAGGGGGCGGTTGTGGTATATCAGTCAGGTAAGTGGAGACCCACATCTGGGTGCTTGAGGGGAACGTGGGGATGCAGACAGTCTGCATTTGTGTAACTCCTACTGCTGTAACCCAACCTGGAAGATTTTATAACTAAATTTAGATGTTCGACATACTGTATGCTTCGAGAGATTCCAAAGTTTGCTCCAAAGTTACCTGATCTATCCTGCCTTTTGGATACACACCTGAGCAAAATATTCCACAGATCTCCTTTTCTTTGTCATTGGCTCAGCATTGTGGTTGTGAAGAGATACAAGTTAAAGCTGTAGGGAGTTTCTATATAAAAATATCTAGTTGTGTGAACGAGAGACAAAGAACTCTGTGTCCTTTGATAAAAGGGCAGAGCTAAAACCCAGTGACACCAGTGTGGTGAAAGAAAGCTTTAATTTTACACGTAAGTATGCTGACACCATCTATAACAAAAACAAATGTACATAGTGAACTGGCAAGATCAAAGCCTATTGTTGAAGAGGATATATTACAGGATTAGATGAATGCATTTCCTTATAACCCCCCCCCACCCCCCACAAGCAGACAGTGCTACCCTCCTAATGAGAAGTGGCTCTTTATTATTTTTTTCTATAAATGAAACTAGGCATGTTGTTTGCATCATTTATTGATTCGGTTAAAAGGGTAACTGAATATTCACGGGGAGAAACCGGCCTAATGAAAGCTGGCAAACAAAATAAAGATAGCAATTTGCAAAAGAATAAGAATCAATCTTGTGAACTATAAAGTTTGCTATCCATCAAAAAAGCTGGCCCAAGCTTGAATACTTCTTAAAAAATAATAAAACTGTGTCTGTCTGAATTAACGCAATTCAGTTCAAATCATAAAATGCAATTTGAGACAAAAGACTGAGACAAATAAACATTTCCTAACGACAAATTCACCCAAATGATCAAAACACTGACCATCACTTCCTCTTCCTTTAAAAACTAAACATTTGGGGATTTACTGGCAAAAATTACAAATCTTTCCTCAACGTTAATTACTCTATATTTGGTAAGGTAAAAAAAAAAAATAGCCACATCTGACCATGTCTAAAACCTCTTATCGAGCGACAGACTGAACTTTAAGAAAATACAGGGTGAGATTCTGAATGTATTAACCTGCATTGGTGGTGTGACCTTAGAATGGGAAAGTCCTATGAGACCTCATAGTGCCACAGTTGGTACATTTACTGACTAGCAGAAGAATAGATACCCGGGATAATCATTATATTTGTTAGGAATCTCTCTTTTTCCTTCCCCCTCTCACCCATTAATTTCTTTAGAGGTTGATCTTATCAAGGTTTTCAAAATTCTGAAAGGTTTTTAGTGTATACTTTTTAGTGAAAGATTATTGCCACTGATCGTTATATTGGTAACTGGATTGTCACTAGAAGATTTGAGGAGGTCAGAAGAATTGTCTTCACACACAAGGTTAATACGGATTGTTTTGTTATTGAGACCTGATATCTTAACGTCAAATAAAAAGGGGTTTGGATGCTTATTTAAAGAGAAACAACATAAAAGGGGAAAGAGCTATGAATTGGGATTAATCTACCTGAAGCGAGGCAGCTAGAACCGGCATAGGCTTCATAAGCCATGTTATAATTTCATTGATTCCTTTCTGAGACCATAACATATGCGAAGGGACGTTGATGAAAATTTGAGGAAAAACAATACAGAAGGGTACAGGGAAAGAGCAGGGAGTTGGGATTAAAGTATTTAGCGCCAGTGAAGGAACTAGCAGTAGCAAAGGGTTGAACAACCAAATGGGCTGCTCCTCGGCTGTAATTTCAATTATTCTTTTCCGCCTGAAAGCTTAGAAAATGCATGACATTCCCACCACTGCAGCACCAACCATCTGAAAGCTCTGCAGGAGACCAGGTTCAAGGTCTGGGAAGCTAGTGTGACAACATTTTTGTTCTTTTGCAAATAAATAAAGAGCAGATTGAATAGTCACCACCAGAAGAGATGTGTAGGTAAATATTGGAGGGACTGATAGGTGTCTGGGCCTTTCTTTGTTCCTTCCTATCTATGTGTGTAATGTAGATACATGTCTATCTAATGCCCCATTGTTACTTCTGCTGTGAGTGAATCTGGATCACTCCACTCGCATCCTAGATCAGCCCTCTGCCCACTTACATTGCATGTCAGCTGGTGTTCCCATGCTGTAAAGGAGACATATTGTCCCCTAGGTGTAGATCCAGTGGTGAATCATGTTCCACCTGACCTTTTTCATCCCTAAAGTTCGTGTTTCTTCCCTGTAAGTAGAGTCTCCCTCTATTCTCCTCCTCAGATCTGATGCTAAGTAACGTCATTGTGACAGTCTTGTTAAAACTGGTGTAAACATCACTGCTTAAGGTTGGTCTGTCAGTCTCCAATAATCTGCTACCTTCCAACCTTCCACAAAACATTCAAAACATGACAAATAACATGGGTGAGAGTTATTTATCTTCAGTTTAATAAGGCAAGGTGATTCTATGTCCCGGACTTCCCAGGATTCCTGCATTTGAACATTTGGTTTTGTATAGCAAGACGTTGATTATGGGGTCAAGAGTAGAGTGAGAGGAAATAGCGAAGGTTTGAAATATTCATTGTGCTCAATAACCCTGAAATACAACAGAACTTTATTCCTGTTATAAAATAAGTGTCCCAGTTCACACACCATACCTGTGACAGCGATGTTTTTGTTTGTGAAGCTTTGTACACATATAGTGGTATGATTGGGACAGTGCACAAAATACTACCTGACTGCAGTTTGCATTGATCTCTCTGTGTAATCTTGTTGAATACTAACTGCATGGCTAGTAGTGAGCACTATCTATTATTACAAATGACAAGGTGTTTGTGTCTTGTCTCTAGCAAAGTCTATTCCACGCTCACAGTCATAGCATGTTTTCAACTAATGCAACATCTTGGAATTTTCACATTAAAAGTTATGAATATCGTTTTACATCTGATAACAGAAATACTGGTTTTGGATTAGAAACTGGTGTCAATCCATTGTAGGTGTCTGACCTTTTTTTAAAGTTTCAATCTCTGTTTGTTCTCTCGGGTGAACAGACTGTTTGGATTTATCTACTTAGCGCAGAAAGTAATGAATATGTGGAATGGATTACCCAGGGAGGCAGTAGAGGCAGATTATGTTAACAAATTCAGTAGGGATTTTAGAGAGCTATTTGGCAAAGAAATTGATTAAGAGATTTGAGACAGAAAGCAGTGCAGGATTATTTTTAACTTTGCTTCTGGCCAGATGGGCTGCAATAGACTTTCCCAGCCCTGTACATTGCTCTGTTCCTGCCTCGGGACTTAATCCAGCACCTCTCCATTGCTGCAGTTTTCAAGCCTTGCCTGTCAGTCATTTGAAAGGCCTGCATTGTCCTGCGAATGTGAAATTATTTTTATTTCCACTACTGGTTACTAACTGAATGTCCGGGGACAGACAAACTTCTTTTTAAAAGTATTAATTATTTTTACTCTTTCCTAGGTCTCGTACACCTAGCTCGGTCCCTTTGTTTTCCTGTCCTGATAGAAACAAAGTGAACTTCATCCCTAAAGGGTCGGCATTCTTCCCTGTAAGTATTGTCAGTCGCCCTCTGTTCTCCACCTCGGACCTGATGCTCAAGAACTCGTCAATCTTGGGAGCTGGTCCCAGCCTAGCATCCAGCACTCAGACTGATGGCCAGTTTTCACCTCAGGTCTCATTCTCCCCTTCGTCGGACGACACCAGCACAACAGACTCTGAGGCCTCAGTGCAGCAGACGTCACACCAACAGCAGCAGCTTCACGAGTGTCAGACTGAAGAGCACTCATCAGTTCAGAACTTTGTCGTAATCTAGCCCCTGGACTCCCCCACCCAGGTAGAGCAGGCCTCTGCCCTCTTGTCGGGTTGGTCTATATATCTGAACATCTGCATGGAGTAGCACCTGCATTCTGAACAACCGTTCTTAGCATTGTAGCATATCTTCCACTGTTCTTGGCAGGGATAGAATTCCTCTTTAGGAAATGTTTGTGAGAAGCAGTAATGCTTGCAAAAACACATGCTTCATTTACGTGTTCTAAGTGCGGACTATGCATTACATGGTACGTTTAGATGGGTTAGTGCTGTGTCCTGTGTTCTGTTCCATCTCCTACAGTAAGAATAAGCTGTATATCAAAAAAAAAATGCCTGTCTAAAAGATAGAAAAATAGATGTTATGTTACGTTATGGAGAAAAAAATATTATGTTTACAAACAATCCAGGTTGTTTAAGTTTATAAATTCTGTAACACATACAATGCAAAAAAAAAAAGGCCACACCAGTTGCACAGTGCCCACCCTATGGCCTAGCTTCAGGTACTTCAGGTGAAGTCTAAACTCAGGTAATTTGGAATGTATATCCGCATAGGATTTTAACGAATTTGTGGGCTGAAAAAAAGCTAAGTGAGAGTTTAGGGTAAGCATCACTCTTGCCTTTCCTTTTTGTACATTAACCTTTCCTCATTACATTCCACTTTCTTTAAAAAGCCGTTGTACTTGCGTCCAGGGAGACCCGGACACGGTCGAACAGTATAAAAGTACCAGCATTAATTACAGTGATGTCCCACATCATTTGTTTAAGTGGACGTTGGGTAGAAATAAAATTGCATAAACCATTGTTTTAAAACGTATCAATCGTTTTGCGTGACATTTCAGAGTTTTAAAAAGAAGTTTCAGGTGTTGAAGACTGTTAAGCTGTTACACATACAGTAAAGTGTTGAATACTAGGCTGTATATAAGAAACATTCCATGTTGTGAAGAGATCTCCACGATCAAACTGTTCCAAGTTACATAACCGGACTCTTCAGGTTCTTATGTTGCATTTGATCCCTTTTTTTGCGTGTGCAAAGTTTGGAATTGGCAGATACACAAGCGAAATGCTGTTACAAAGATCAAATAAAATTAATGTTTGGTTTCTCATCTTTTTTTATTTCCACCCCTTTTCTCTCCCTCCCCACTTTTATGTTAACCTTGTTTACGCAGTTTTCAGTGGTTATTTAACTGAACTATAATGGATGAATTGGCACAGAAGTGTGATGGACTGAGTTTCAACGTAGCTGGTTACGGTTAAGGATTCACTTTGCTAAATGAGAATTTATTACCTTACTTAGTCCAAAAAGGTTACGCTGGAAAGAATGAAGAACTTGCCAGTTATTTTAACAAGAAGAATCAGGGCTAAGCATTCAATGGCAGCCAGCACCCAGTGTTACGTTTATCCTCGTTCCTTGCTACAAGTTGTACCTGTGGCTGAGCTGCTTATGCAGCCCTGAGGGTCAGTCCAAAGCCTTTCCCAACGCCACCCATCACCTGAGAAACTAGATATTAATTTTACCAAACACTGTTGCAAATCTGTTCTGATTGTGATCTTTATAAGGTTTTGAACCAAATTGGTTGGTAAATTAGCTAATACATTAAAATGTAAATTAAACCAACATTTAATGGCCTCTGCGTGTATCTTACATCCTGATGTAGAAATATTGTTTGTCTGATACATTGTTTAAAAACTTGTTTGAAATTTTGTACATAGTTACTGTTATTTCTAGCCATTGTGCTAAACAGTATTTATGAGTTGCCACACAATGTTTCTTTAAATAATGCATCGTGTGGCTTTTGTTTTGTATTTTTTCAGTATATAGTTCTTGTGTCTTATTTAAATAAAGTTAATAGCAAAAAGCATGAATAAAAACTGGCAATTTTCTACATGTATTTGGTGTTTAATAATATCTTGCTTTGGTGATATCCTTTTTTTAATGTTTTTATGTTTTAAGATTACCAGCTTGTTATTGGGACTGTGAACTCCTAGCACAGCTCCCAAAATATACAATGCCTGGTAAGTTTCATGTTGGTACACCCTCGCTCTGAGTCAAAAGGTTGTGGGTTCAAGCTCCATGTCAGGATTTTGAACTGATAATCCAGGCTGACACACCGGGTCTCCAATGCTGGGGGAGCGGTGCATTGTCAGAGGTACCATCTTTGGGTGACACGTTAATCCGAGTTCCCGTCTGTCTGTTCAGGTGGACGTTAATGATTCCATGGCATTATTCGAAAAGAGAAGGGCGTTTCTCCCTGTGTCCCAGCCAACAAGCCCCCAAATAAAATTCATGGCTGTTTTGTGGGATGTTGCTGTGTGCAAAAATGCAAGATGTCTACTGAGTTCATTATTGGAGGCAAAGGTTTACAAAGGAAATGGGCCGCTTGGCTTAACCAGTCGATGCTGTGTTTATACTCCACACAAGCAATCACCCATTAATTTACTCTTTCTCTATACCTGCTTTTCCCCTCTGTCTAATGCGAAGGTCTTGCTCTATCTAGAAGGCATTTATACTATCTGATTCAACCACTGCTTCAGGCAGCAAGTTCCACAATATCATCACCCTCTGTGTGAAGTGTGAAGCAGTTCCTTCTAAATTCTCTTAGTCCTAGTTGTTATTTTATATTTATGTCTCCTGGTTATGGACTCTCCAACCAGTGGAAATAGCCTATTTATGTTAATCTTATTGAACCCTTTTTATAATTATCGACACTTCTATTAGATTCTCCCTTCAAAGTCTTCTGTAGTGAAAAAGGCCCCAACCACTCTATCCTGAAAGGAGTAAACTACCAGACCTGGTAACACCCTCTAGTATCACTCACTATGCTGTACTCTTTTCATTGTTATTATGTCCTTCCTATGGTGTGGAGACCAGAATTGGACACATGGTCTAACCAAGGTTTTGTATAAATTCACCACTTTTGTACTATTATATCCCTCTGGATATAAAGCCCAAGACCCAATTGGCTGTTTTTTTTTGCTACCTTTAGTGTGAATTCCCAAATCTGTTTGCTCCTCTTCTCTCAGGTTCCTACCATCTAGACTATATATGGCTCATTTATTTTTCTGATAAGGAATTGTTTAAACGTTGCTTTCTGTGTAAACTTTATTTCAGTTTACTGTCTGGTATGGTCAGGTGCAGTAACTGGGCTCTGGGACGCTACCCTGTGTGAGGGGGCACTATATAAATGCAAGTTGTTGGGCTGACTGAATGTTCAGTTTCAAATAGGATTGATAATCTGTATTGGGACATGGCTCAGACACACGTTCTCCAATGGTTTAATTTAACAATGGGAATGTGAGACGAGGAGAGAGTTGTCACAAATGTGAAGTCAAAAAGGCAGGTCTTAATAAGTTAGTTTTGAAGGCCAGGAGGGAGCAAGGCAGAAAGACTCCAAAACAGTACAGCTGAAAGCAGATCAGGTGGGGCCATGAAACAGGCCGTTGTTTGTTGAGCGGAGGGAGCAGTCACGCCTGTAGGATTGCGGGAGAACATAGAGAGAAGGTGGGATGAGTGAGGCCATGGAGGGGATTTAAAAATGATGACAAGGATTTTGAATTTGATCTGCTGGGGTATGGGGGAACGAGTGGATCCAAACAAGGATTTAGGTGATGGGCTTGTGTTGGTCAATGCTGCTGTTGTGGATGTGAAGGAAACGGCAGTAGATGACATTTGATCACATTTTTGTTTGTATAAAAATTTATGAACTTGTACATAACTGAACAGAAAGTTGCTTGAACTGTTTAATGTAGAACTCTTGCTTGAACTCATTAATGTAGTAAGTAGTTTGACGGTTAAATAACAATGAAAGCAACATTTTAAAAACAATTGAGCGAATGAATGATATAGTGCCAATAATCTACATTTGTCATGGACATCTTAGGCCATACAGGACAAAAGATGATAATAATAATCGTTGCATTTGATATAGCACCTTATCATGTCTTCAAGACATCTCAAAGCTCTTCGAAGAGTATACTGTAAAGTGAATTGACTATATTTTGTAGGCAGCCAATTGTGCACAGCAATGTCCAACACAGTCGGCGATTTAGTGACCAAATTATTTTTTTTGAAAAAAAATTACCCCGGAAAAGCGATCGCCAATTGATTAACAACCGGGATCCTACTTATTGCTAGGTAAACCGGCGTGTGGAATAAGGAAACTTGCCCAACGTTTTGCGCTGCCGGGAATTGAACCTAAGTCCTCTCACTTGCAAGGGGAGTGCTCTTGCAAAATGAAAGTACTTAGCATTAATAAAGCACCTTATACGCCGTAACTTTGTAAAAAGGGCTTTACAGTGGTCATTGTCAACTCTCGTGTTTTCTTTTTTTAGGCAAATGTCAGTCAACATGCAAAAAGTAAAATCACATAAACGGCCCCAAGATGAATGATCAATATGTCTGAAGGATTGTTGGCCAGGGAAAATTGAGAACATCTCCTTTTTTTTAATAGTGTCATGCTGTCTTAATGCTAACCTGAAAACAGAACTTAATGTCTCAATTTATCTGAAGGATGGCACTCTGCCAATGGAATGGTTCCCTAGTACTGAGCTGGAGTGTAAGCTTAACACTGACCAAAAATGTTGACATAGGGCTTGAACTTGTGACAAAGAGAGGCAGTTTTAGGAGACACCAGAAAGCATTTCTTCCATTAGAGATAAACAACACCTCGAACAAGTTTACAGGGAGTTTGGCTGAGATCTGGATGCCAGAATTGTGTGAGAAACAATTTAATGTAATGAGGTGCTTGTAGGGTACATATTCTGAAATGCTATCAAATGGGCCAAAGGAAGGGCCTTCGTCATCTGAAAATCTGGTAATTTGGTATGATCTAGAATTAGCAATCACTCACTGCCACAGATGTAATCCATGATGCATATTTGTTCAATATTAGAAATAGAAGGGGGGCCATTTACAATGTCAGCTGTTTTTATGAATCAAGTTTTTTAAATTAATCCTGAGGAATGATTTTTTTGCTTCTGCATGTTTACATCTTTGCTTTGCATTTTGGAAATATTAAATATTAAATTGCAGCAGTGTAAATGTGTGCTTTTATGTGCATCCCTCAGTTGAAATTTATGGAAATATGTGCAGTCCAGCCTTCTTATCTCAATGAAAAGACCATTCATCATGAATCAGCTGAGCCCAGACAGTGAGAGACATACTTCCTCCTGTCCTGGTTTGTCAGTCACTGGATAATAATTGGGAACAGATTTCCAGCATATAGACACTGAGCCCAATTTTAGAACCGACCTTAGCTGAGAACCACTGAACTATAGGTCTTTTTATATGGATGTGTTTATTTAAATTGAAATTGGTTAGCATTCCCTGAACAACAAAATTACATTTATATAGCGCCTTTCACATCTGGCGGACATCCAACTGTGAAACAACGTAGACTGATAACATTTAGAAAGATATTCAAGTATGGCGAAAGGGGAAGGGGGTATTTGGGATGAAAAAAGATCCTGCCAAAAATCCAATAAACGTGTAGAATAGGCTCGATGGGCTGAATGTCCTCTTCCTGTGTACTTTGTTTTCCTTATGAAAAAGAGTGGCGGGGGAAGAGGGTGTTTATCTTGAATCATTTACAAATGGCACAAGGGTTTCATGATATGAAAAATGTCAATGGGACAAATCTTGATCACCGCTGTTAAATTTGAGGCATCCTCCCACTGTGAAAGCCTCTACATCAAATGAAAGGGTTATCAATTAATGCTACTCCAATGAAAACACTATTAGAAAACTAAGCTAATAATTTTTCAACAGCAAAAATTCTTCCCCTTTCCTTAAAAACTTTTTTTAAATACAGCATGACTCGCCTTTGTACATAATTAAAATTTACATGTCTTAATCCTGCTGCAAGAATCCATGAAAGCTTTCCTTTTTGGAGGGGCAGGAACTAATCACGGTGTCTATTTTGGCATAAAACCACAGCAAGTTGAAGTAGCATTTTCATCAATATTTAGCCTTCGCCTTTTAATTTGACTACTACAAAAGACAATCCAATAATGCCTGATATTAGTTTAGCAATGAATAATTTTGAAATTTATTTTGATATTTGTGGAAAAGCAATTTTATCAGATACTATAATGCAGTATTTTTTAAAACTATTTTATATGAAAATGCACCATTTCGTTTGTACAAAATTGCTAATGGACAGTTCAGTTTAGAAGTATACTTAAAAGGCCAGTTTAATGAAATAATTAATGTTTCCACCTCCTTGTCAGCAATGTTGCACAAACCGAATGACCAATTCTATTTGGGAGGTTGTTGGTAGGGCACTGGGAAAACTTCTTTTTTGAACACTATTGTGAGATCTTGAATCCCTGATCAGACAGGCAGGACCTTGGTTTAATGTCTAATCTGAAAGACGGCACCTCCAACAATACAAAATACTTAGACAATGTGAGTTCAAGTCCTGACATGTTAACAACTGATACAAACTGGCCCACAAGGAATAGTTGTGCTTCTGCGATGTGGGACTGAATCCATTGCTCAGATAGGGAGTACCCTCATGCAGACTGACGTGATAAATTCCTTTGAGGGAATTCAAGTTTAATTTATACAGAAACATCTGGAAGCCTTCAGTACCTAAATTAGCAGTGTTATAAACCAGGTTCAAAGGAATTGAAGTCAATCCAGACTCGAATAAAGTGCTCCATTCAAATGTCTTCTGCTTTTTAGCATACCTTTGATCTGTGCTTTTCACTGTGCCAAGGGAAGATTGGGCTAATGTATGCTTAGTGTTCATTGGAACCAATTGAGAAATTCAGGACTGAATTTCCCAATAATGCAATCAAATTATTTAGCTAACCCCATTACAATATAATAGTGATCTCATGCCAAGTTAAAAGTTAATTGACATCTCTTTTCTGCATAATTA